TCGCCCAGGACCCCAGACGAGCCAAGCCCGCAGACCGCAGCACCGCCACCCCGAGTCCGGACCACCGCGCTCTAGGCGCTGCCGGTCTCTGGGGACCTGCGCTGCCCCCCGAGGGGCGGACTCACGAGCTCAGACAGGCTCCCCACCCCAACCCCCCGCCAAAACTTAACGGCTCCTCTTCCCCATCCCTGCTGAGAGCAAGACGTGGACAGGCGCCGCGTAGATCCGGGGAGGCTCCCAACTTGGAACCAGACGCAGGGCTGCGCCACTGCCTTCCTGGCCAGCGGCGCGGTCGAAAGAACACACTTCCCTGGCCCCTCTTCAGCCTCAGGTGCTGTAAAAGGCGGGCAGGCAGCTGCGGGTAGAGCTGAGGGCAGGTCTCGGCTAGCCCTGGGATTGGGGACCAGTTTGGGTTTAGTTTGAGAACATGCAGGGATCCTGCATAAGACCTCCCTGCCCATCCCTCGCTGCTTCCAAGTCTTGGGGTGGGGCCGCTCTCCCGAGGTGAGGCTGGATGGGAGAGGTGGGCTGCGCCCTTCCATCTTTGGAGTCTTCTCTTGCCTCCTTCCCCGCCTTTTCCCTTGGGCTTCTTGCAAGCCAGTCTCATCACACTAACTTCCTGGCCCCACAGTAACTCAGTCTTTTCCCAGATTTCTACTCTACCACCGTCCTCATTAGATTTGTAGTAGGGATCCCACAGCACCGTCTTGGAATGTTAGGGTGAGGCCTTGCCACCTCCCTTTCCGGATAGGGACCTAGAGTCTGTTCTTGGGAACAGCCAATTTAAGAAGAGAGCCTTGCCTTGGGATCCGCAGCAGTGCTGTTTACAGGAAAGCAGGGGTTGTGCCAGGAAGCCTGGCGGAGGAGCTGTTTCTACCTAAAGCCGGTGGGATTCCCAGTGGGTTTGTAATGGTACTGTCTCCCTTTCTTGGAAATTGGTGATGTTTGTTAGCATAGAGAGGACTCTGAGGCTCTGGTACTAAGCCCAACCAGAGTAATTTAGTTTACTGTATTAACTGCTTCTGGGGCCTGATCAGTGTTTCCCACCTCAAGGTTCCAGGCATTTCTGTGCTGTCCCAATTCCTGTTTGTTCCTGGAGTCTGACCTGTTGAAGATTTGGGAAACTCTTCTTTCCAAGGGAATTTTTCTAACAGGGGGACCAAGCCCAGGGAGGAAGGAGTTGCTGCCTCTTGCCAGCCATAGATCTGAGAACTGGTGAACTCAAACATTCCTTTACATTGTTGGAGAAGTGAAGCCAAGGCCATCCAGATGTTTTCATGGTGGAAGGGACGGTCACCTGTAGGAGATCCTAACATAGACTGTGAGCAGCTGGCAGGGTGAACCCTGCTTACCAAAGAGAAGACAAATTTCTGGAGCTGGGCTGAACAGCCAGCCTTCCTCTAAGGTATGCTGTTTTCTCATTTTCTGGAAAGGGCATCAATCTTTGAATAAAAAGCACAGAGGCTCCTATTAACAAAGTTTAAAAGTTTTTTTTTTTTTTTTTTTTTTTTTTTTAGAACAAGTTGGAGGGGTGACAATACCCACGATACCCAGAGTTGTGAAAATATCCTTTTTGCTAAATCCTTCAAAGGTCTGTCTGCTTTTTGAAAAAGCTCGACCTTCTCTGGACTAGGAACCATAAAGAGGAGACACCTTGCAGGGATTGAACCCAGGGCCTCATGCATACGAGGCAAGTGCTCTACCACTGAGCTACACCTGTAGTCCCTGGGAGTTGTTTTTAAAACTTACTGTTGAAGGTGTTGAGTTTTCCTGCTGGTTATGAAATTGGTCGTTGGGATGGGGGTGCAGAACAGGTCTGTAAGTTTCATTCAGCCCTTAACGTAGCCCAGCTGTGTGTTTGGAACTACAAAAGCATTTTACATATCTTCATGTAGTCTCTCAGTAATACTATTTTTTCTCATTTGCTGTATGAGGAAAATGAGCCCCAGAGAGATTAAATAACTTTGTCCAAGATTTCACTGCTATTGAGTGGTGGAGCTCAGATTTGAGCCCTGACAGTCTGGCCTCTTCAGCACCAGGCTATACTATATATGGTAGCAAGTCAATACATGTTTGATGTTGCTAATGTAGACCTTTTTTTTTTTTTTTCCTGAGGCTGGGGTATGCCTCAGTGGAACAACATGTGCTTAGACACTCTGGGCTTAATCCCAGCACAAAAAAATTTTTTTTAAAAATTGGGATGAAATATATAATACATAAAGTTTATCATCTTAACTATACAGTTCAGTGGCATTAAATATATTCACATTGTTATGCAAACATCACCACTATCCATTTCCTAAACTTTTTTAATCTTGCGAGACTGAAACTCTACTCATTATTTTTGTTCCTTTTTTTCTCCTCTGGCAAGTCTCAGAACACTGGGCCCCACAATCCCAAGTCCTTTAATGTCTTGGTAGCTGGGCCCCACTCTTGTGCTCTGGGAAGAATAACTGTTCCCTCATGTCTGACCAGGGATGGTCTCAGCCAGAGCCTGAGGCAGCCCTTGCTGGGACATTTCAGTGCCTTGGAAGCCCAGTGACTTTCATTCTTCTCTTGCAGGCTTCTGTGTTGCTGAGGTCATGGAGATTCCCAGAGCTGGTCAAGCTGGCCTCTTCCCGGGCCTACTGCCCTGGCTGGCCGACACCATTCTGGCCGGGGTCAGTGGAAAATTTCAGTGTCTTTACTGGCATTTGGGGCAGGTGGGAAAGGCAGTGACCTCTGCCTGGCAGTCTCCTGCACCATCCAGTGGAAGCTTAATGTAGTCTCAACCCAAATGAATTCAGGAATTCAGTTCCTCTGGTACTGTGATTTGGGTGCCAGATTCCAGATATGGAACTCTTTGCTCTGTTTCCTTAACAATGGGTTTTAGTTCCAGCCTTTATTCTTTTTCCTTTTGCCGTTTTTTAGATCATCATCTAAGTTGCATCCTCAGCTCAGGTCCTGCCCCTTCAGATCTCTTTCTTGGTTCCCCAGCCCCAGGTCGGTGGCCTGGTGACCTTACTCAGGAGCAGACATCTTGGTACTCATGGTGCCTTAATCCACCCAGACCTGTAGCAAGTCTGTAGCTTACCAGCTCTTCCAGATGTGCCATCCTGCTTGGCTTCTAGTGGCTTGGCGGTCCCTCTGCTAGATGTGAGAGGGCTGGATAAGATTGTGGCCGTACCCACCCTCTCTCCCAAGGGTGTGTGCCATACGTATGGCTATGGCCACCCGATTTGGCCAGAACTTTTCTTTTATTTTATTTTTCTCAGTTCCAAGGAACTCGGGACCTTGTGCTTGCAAGGCAGGAATGGTGCCACAGAGCTAAATCCCTGGCCCTGGCCAGAACTTCTGGCTTCTGGAGGTATACTCACAGGCCTCCCTCCTTGACCCTAGGTCTCAGGTCACCTCAAGACACCCTGGTAGGTCCTAACCCAAAAATCTAGGACCGTTTGTGTATTCAGGAGATTATTTTGACTCTGCAAAGGCCAAGGGAGAGACTCTTTTGGCGGGCAGTAGGGGATTGAGGACTGGTGTGCCTTATTCAGTAGCTTAGCAATGGTTCCTTATGCTTTTCTGAATAAATTGTGTTTTTTCTGATCTTGGGGATTGTGTCTTCTATGCTGGTCCTCCAGAGTGATCTCTGCTCCCCCTCCCATGTCCTCATGCCACACACACCCCCGTCTTTGCTTTTTCTTTTGAGAGACAGGAAAATGACTTCATAGCTTTCCATTGTGGTTAGGGGTTGTCTGAGGTTGGGAACCAGAGGGTAGAAAACTCTGTGTTCCTGGCTGAGGCTGGAAGGAATTCTGGAGGCTCCTGGCCTGGCTGTCAATGGGCCTCTGTTTGGGAGCTCCACTGCCTGCCCTGCCAGCAAAGAATGATCGTGGTTATGGAGCCAGAAAAGCACTGTTCTAGTCTAACTCCATCATCTTGCAGAGGGGAAACAAAGCCCAGGGCACCGTGACAATTTGTCTAATGCCTTATAGCTGATTAGGAGCATATTTGGAGTCTCCTGGTCTCGTTCCTGTAGATACTGCCTTATCTGTGCCCCTGGTTTCCCCAAAGTGGTCTGCCCAGCCAGCCCTTGCCTGCTGAGATGCCCTGGAGAGAATTCAAGGCAGAGCTAAGAGCTTCCTTACCACTCCTTCCTGTGACCTGAGCCTGATGTCTGCAGCTAGGAAATAAGATTCTACCGCCTGGTCTCAAAACTCACTGGGAAGAGCTGCAGGCCAGGATCTGGTGCTGTATATGCTCCATACCCATTGTTCTAAAGAATACTCACAGATAAGATACAAAAATATGAGTGCACAACACCCCATATCCTCCTATTTGTGGTTTGGTATTTCCCAATGGAGAAAAATACCACGAACTTCTGAGTTTCCCCCTTATTCCCCTCTTCCCTCGCCTGCCAAAAATTTCATGCAAAAATTTTTAAATGGTGCAGCTTTGTGCAAAGGCTGGTAATCCCCTTGCTCAGCTTTACTTAGTGGGGCATTTTACAAGTGAAAATGCGCTTTTACGGGCATTCCCTTTGATGACAGCCCCAATAGTTTTAGAGATTAGCACTGTCACTTCCAACGTAATAGAAGAAATGGAGCCCCAGAGAGGGAAAAGGCCTTATCCAGGATCATGCAACTGTCTAGTGGCAAGACAGAGACTGAACACAGGTGTTCTTTTAAGCCTTTATGGTCCTTTGCAGGATTGGAAGTTTAAGTGGGTTGGTTTTTTTGTCCTGGAGACCAGGAGTTCAGGAATGGTCTAATCTGGCATTTCCTGTTCAGTGACTCTGTGTGTGTGTGTGTGTGTGTGTGTGTGTGTGTGTGTGTGTGAGGCTTTGAAATAAGACTCAGTTTTTTTGTGGACATAATGAGCCTCTTTGAGAAATCCCAAGGGTTCGCTCATTTGTTTGTTACTTTTCCTGTTTTTCTAGGGGTGGGTATAGGCT